TCGGAAGCTGCACTGGTTCGTAGTCTTTTACAGCGTCTTTTACTGCTCTGAGCGACGCGTTGATATGCTGCGCGTATTAGGCGTCGCTGGCAACATGGTGCACCAAGCTCGAGGAAGAGCGGTACGTTCGCTGTCCGTCCTGCTCACCACTTGACGCTGTGTGCAGAGAGTACATTTTGCGCCAATGGTTTTTGTCGCAAGCGAGTGCACCGGCCAAGAAGAAGGCAAATGATAGCGCATCTCACTTGTAGAAGTAGCCGCACTTCTGATGCAGTCATGGAAGCACCTTCGTGTACTCGTCGTACAGCCATTGGATCCCAGTGCCACGCTTCGCACACTTAGTGGACACCAGAGTGGAGGACTTGGTTCGTCGTGCGGTCCTTTCTTAGGTTGCAGGAAACGGAGGACTTTGCTCGTGTGATTCTGGCATTTGCAGTTGCCTCGATGCGTCGTCATGCCACCAGCCGGTCTCCTCGCCAACAACATTGGTGTCAGCCCCACAACACAGCCACCAACATGTTAATGTGAGCCGTTCTTCGAACCCATCTCGTTGCCCTTGTCGAGTCGAATCAGTTGGCATCGACGTACGATCTGATGCCCTGTTGTCTTACGAGATTCACACACCTCCTCGGCTGCAAATCGTGGGCTCGTAGCGAGGCGCAACGACAGTGTATAATTCCATGTTTTCTTGCGCTGTCAGTCAGGCCTGCGGCGCCGCCTGTGTGTCTCCATCGAGCGCATACACTTTGAAAAAGACTTGTCGTTTCCATTGTTTGGATCGTTGGCACATTGATTTCCGCTTGATGACATCGGTGCCCACCCACAAGTTTTTTCAGTTTGCGCTTTGAGGGTATCTGAGACGCCTCCATCGATTCTGCTTGTGGACACTTGTGGTCCATGCGTGCCAAGAAGGTCGCTGTCGGCCCGTTTGGTCTTAGTAAACGTAAGGAGCAATACTTGAAGGCCGATACCAGATGGTATATTATCGTAACAAGCATACATTCTGGTGTGGACCTGGCGTTTTTTTGGCTGCCACATCGCAACAGCCGAGCACACCTCATTTCCCAACTTGGCTCCTTTGCCACATCCCGATCTCAGCGTATCATGTCGTCGTGCATTTTTGAAGGTTGCTCGCAACAAAGTCTCGAGAACTCGACCAAGTGCGAGTTCCACAAGAGCCGCAGCATCTGCAAGGTACCCGACTGCCGCAACCAAGTATATGCTCGTCAGCTTTGCGTCAGCCATGGCGGCCGCCGGACTTGCATCCATGCGGGCTGTTCGGCGAATGCTCGCATACGTTCCTACTGTTGTCGCCACGGGCCCAAGTCGGGGAAGAAACTTTGCCTCGAACCTGGGTGCGTCAACATTCAGCACACTAAAGGCAAGTGCATTCGCCACGGTGGCGGACGGCGGAGCCGCAAGGACAAGTGTGAGACCCATGCGCGTGCCGGTTGCTTCTGCTGGCGCCACCACACGCCCGGCATGGCGAAAGACAGCACTCCCGAGGCC